CCCATTTAACCTAAAATGGATCTGGGGAGGCAGGAATATGCCCAGAGTGCCATATGTCATCTTTAAACCGAGACTCATATTTTTTCCTTTAGGTTCTCTACAGTCTTCTTAAAGACATCCAGGGCCAGAATTTATTCCCAAGTCCAAAATTACCTCTCCTTTCTGTCACCTATTTTTCCTGCTTTCAGTTCATCAGCCTCCACTTGTTATTTCAACTTTTCCTCATATGGTGCGATATACAGCTTTATCCAGTGAAATGATGATGGAACATGCTTTCAACACCACAGGCTGTCTGTCACGGGCACTTTGACTAAAAAAAGACATGCAAATTGTGAAAAAAATGAAACAAGTCATTTGAGAAGTAATGAATTTGAACCTGATTAAAAACCCTTTTATTTTGCCGTGCTCACACCCAAACAATCTAAGCTGGCAGGGGCTGCCTCAAAGTGAGGATTTGACAGAGCAATTTGTATGATGCCTGAGAACTCATTAGCTTGGGAAAGCTAATTAAAGCTTTTTGAATGGTTCCTTGACCTGAAAAATCTGCAGGCTGGGAAAGCGCTAGAGAAGACGGAACAAAGTAGAAATCTTGATTAAAACTCAATAGAAACCCACCACTGGAAATGATTGCTTAAGCTCATTCCAAGTCATGTGGGTCAGGCGCTGTTAAGACCTAATTTTAGTTCAAGCAGCCACTGAGAGAAAAATAAATGGGTGAGAAACATGTAACGCAAGTGAACTCGGTCTACGGTCGATTGGGAAACAAGGGAATTCTCTGTTAAAAAAAAATTACAATCAACTGTGCTTTAGTAGCAGTGGACAGTGCATTAATACTGCATTTTTATCTTTAAGCTCCATTTGGTTGAAGTATTTACTATTTATTATTTACTGTTTCTTCTTGTTACGACTATGATTTTTATCATGCCTCTTTGCAAAGTAATAGTAATAGTAGTTCCGCTCTTGTCCCTACTAAGGTTGTGAAAAACCTTGGTGTCAGTATTGATGATCAGCTCTCCTTTTCTGACCATTCTGTCTCCGGATCTTATCACTTAGCACTCTACAACATACGCAAAATCAGACCATACTTGACTCAACACTCCACCCACTACAGGCTATGGTCATACCCCGCCTACACTGGCAGTGCAGATCAAACACAAGTCACTGACCACTACTCGGAGGCTGCACTCATCACCACTTGTCTACTTGTCTTGCCCCCTTCCTCACCCAGGGTGATCTCAGACAATCTCCACCCTGGTTCCTACTTGGTGGAACAAACTACTGGCTGCCACAAGAACAGGGTCCTCCCCTCTCTTCCCTTCAAAGATCATCTCCTACCCTAACAAACCCACTAACATCATGCACCTCTTCTTACTCTGTGACCTACTATGACTATAACTTATTATTTATCATTGATGTATTTTGGTATGTACTGTAGCTTGATTGTTGATTGACTGACTCAAATTGTAAGTCACTTTGGATAAAAGCATCTGCTAAATGTATTGTAATCTGATATATATATCGAGACAGTCCTGTATATATAAACCTATAATGCTGCTGTTATAATGCTGTTAACTCAAAAGATGGAAATTATGCAAACTAGCTAACCCTATGGGCCAGAGAGTGGAGCTGTAATCGGAATAACGAGTCACCAAAAGGGTTAGTTGTGAGAATGTTGCTTTAAAGATTCGAAAACTATTCAAGAATCTATGTTTTATTCAATGGCCCCCCCTACTCTTAGACTATAAGACCTTGCATAATTTAGCAAAACAAAGGCACACACTCCCACAGATCTGCCCTTGACAGAAAAGGTCAAAGTCCTGAGGTCAACTAGAGACTGTGGGATGGTTTAGATCTGATGTTCATATCAGGTGGTCTGAAATCACACATGTTCTATTACTAACCTGGTTTCTGCCAAATATGTTGTATGTTATATATTATATCTTAACATAGATGTTCTCAGTAACAAAGTATTTGTGCATGTTCAACAAAAGTTAACTATGGTTCTGTCAATCCGAATACTGAGAACTTAATTCCCCGTGCAGAGGCATGGAAGTCTTTTAAAACTACGGAGTGAACCGCAGGGTAAAAAATATATATTTATTATTTTACACAGTGATTGTAACACAGACACATTTTTTTTTCTAGGGGACACCCACAAAAGATTTCTTATTCTATTCTTCATTTTACTTGAAAGCCTTTTATTCTGCTGACTTCTCCCACACAGAAGCACACATAGAGTTTACAGTAAGGTCACAAACCTAAGAAGAACTTTAAAATTGAAGCCTGGCAGGAAAGTGGACCTACATCTTGTACAGACTGTGATGAGTTGGACGGGATCTTTCTTGCAAGCCTGTGGGCTGAGTTTAATGTGGGCTTGGGCTCCCGAGTTCCTTTAATATTGGTTTTTCTATTATGCTTTTCTTCTCCACCCTCCGCAAGGTTATTCCCTCCACGTTATGCGGCTGAGTGTGAATACTAAGCTCCCAGCATTCTCACTCACTCACTCTGTGTGTGTGTGTGTGTGTGTGTGTGTGTGTGTGTGTGTGTGTGTGTGTGTGTGTGTGTGGGTAGATGGAAATCTCTACTGTAACAGTGCTCTCTTGCTGTGACTTCCAGAAGCCACAGAATGTGTGCAATGCACCCGAGTAAGAGCTGAAGCCTCTTCCTCACATCTGCAGCACATCGACTGGGCGTCTCAATTCTGATCAGACTCATTGATCATATTCACCCATCATCCTTTAGCTCTGATTGTGTGATATCATCCGTATTCAGTTGCATATCTCATTAGCATCCATGCAGCTTGGCATCTGATTTCCCAACGCCCTGTTCAGAACCCCAACATTGATTGAATGTTTTTTCATGTGTCCAATACGTCCACTGATATGTCAGGCTGTAGCATATTATCTAGCAATATGTAGCATAATGACCTTATGGAAACATAAAATTCTAATAATAATAATATATATATGTATGTATATGTATATATGTATATACTGTATATGCATATATGTATATATGTATATATGCATATATATGTGTGTGTGTGTGTGTGTGTGTGTGTTATTTTTTCTCAATTTTGAGACAAAAACATGTAAAAAATAACAAATTCAGCTGTCCTGCCGCAGTTATGTGTCTGTGTGAACTCCAGGGCTTCCTTGAGTGTCCAGTTTAGTTTTTTCACTTCAGTTGAATTCTACTACAAGTAACAATTGAAAGGTTTACTGCTGAGAAAATCGTCCTCTGCAGCTGCCCCTTGGCTTTCATTCACTCTCAATCAATTTGAAAACTTTCCTTGAGACGTCCTCTTCATTTTGTGCTGCCGGCTCTGGGGACAGATGTCTCTGCTTGTCAATCACAACAGGGCTCCGGTCGGAGTTAAGAACTGGATGAACATACAGTACGGAGAGGAAGTGAACTGAGTAAAACTGGGCCCTTCGGGGATCACCTGTACTGGCGGAGTGCATGGCAGGCTGGACAGGGTGAGTAGGAGAGAGGGAAGTGAAATGAAGGGTGAGGAGGATGAAATGAAGCAACAAAAGAAGTTTGCAGTGAACATGTGTCATGCACAGCTGCTGAGTGTTTGCCTGCTGGCTATGCTTTTGGCTTTAGGCTGCAACTACGGACACAGCGGTCCGTAAGAGCTTATGGGAGGCAACGGCACGGGAAATGACGGTGATGTTCGGTGAGAGCGGTACTGGAGTCAAACAGACGGAGACAACATGAGCTTAATAAGGCCACAGTGATGATGGGGAGAGGGATTACAGTTTGCAGTGTCTCACCAAATATTGACTCTGGAGTTAAGTGTACAAGTATGTCTCACAAGCCACTGCAGACAGAGCTTGGCTTTAGTTTTTGATGTCCATCAGCTGTATAAGTCCACGGGGACTTGGCCTGTGAATTTATTGGGTCAGGTTGGAGAGTGGTGAAGGTGACGACTGAGGTTGTGATTGGACGGCTCTTTAGGTAAAGCTCCGCTCGCTCCCCCGAAGGTCCCCTTGATCATTGCACTTACCCTCCAGAGACCGAGTCAGTTCACTGCTCCCTTGTTCCAGTCTCATGCTCGTGTCACTCTGAGGGAAGTGGGCGCTGCAGTGGGAGCACGCACACTCATTTATCGACCCACACCCACTCTGCTTTAAATGTGATTTTCCTTGACATCTGGGTCTGCCCCCATCACTCTTGTGTTTGTGCCATGTTGGCAAATGGCTTAAGTGTTTTTGTATGTGTGCGCACACGTGACCAGCCATGTGTGTGTGTGCCATATGTCTTGAAACGTTGCTATATGGCCCCACTACTTCAACGGGGCCTGATTTCACTCGAACAGAGAAATGACTATGGTGACAGGAGGGGTGAGCGAACAGTTCATGTGAAGAATGATGAAAGCAATTCATGACCTGCACATGACCAGCCTTTCCACTGCATCTGAGGGGCAGAGGTTGCAACATTGATTTGTTTTATTTAAAAAATTGAAGATGATCAAACCAACATCTTAGGTTATTATGATTTTTAAATATTTTTAATGCAGCGTTTAACTAAGAGGAAAACTGTGGTGTATATACAGAGGGAGTTTGAGGTAAAACTAAGTGTGGTTCTGTGTCTACTGTGCCAGTAAAGCTGCTGTGTATCTTAGCATTGATTTTTTTTTTTTACCCAAGCCTCCAGAGCTCCTCTGAAGGAAGTCCTTAGCACATACTTTACACCTTGTTTTCATATTAATCAGCAATTCACTGACCCCGACATAATGACCCATGGATTATTCAGATTTTGGCTTCTGTAAAATGTCAACTTATCTTTTAAAAGTTGCACACATCTAAAAATAAAATCTATTTTTTTATTTTTTTTTAGTCCTGAAGGCTGTGTATCTCCTTTTGGAGGGCATAGTGTTTTTCATATCAATGCTGGGTCTATAATATGCTGATTGATTCGGTACAGTGAAGTTCTATGGTTAGATGTT